GTTCAATGTGTTTATTGTGAGTGAAATAACCTTGTATTTTCTGCCTCCCTTACATTTGACAACAATAGTGGTGTATTCTGCATGCATGTGATGACAATGGAATTCTGCTGTTGTGAACAACTTCTGGTGTTTCTTTGTACTGTGTATTAACCAGTGATTTTGTTTTGTGTCATGTTGTTGTGTGACCTTTTTAACACCGAACACTGGGCATTGGTGAACCTCTCCCAGGTTTTCAAGGTTTGTTCTTAACCCACGACATCTTGTTGCATGCCATAGAGTTTTTATATAAGGAAAATATTGCTTAGTACCTCGTGGTATGTAAAGACATAATGTTTAAAGTTACACCATGTAAATTGTGGTTTTGCAGAAACATCCAGATCAAAAATTGCTCTGATGCACAGAGATTGTTCTTTTTAATGGTCACACTGACTTGCCATAACTTTTATTCTCCCTGAGATGAAGTATCTCCTGTCACAGTTTGACATGGCTAGAACACTTTACTCTAGACTCTGTGAAAGCTTAGTCCATGATGACTAAATTACAATTTAAAATTCACAAACAGAGTGGCAAATTGTTTGGTAATTGAGTGATCCTTGTTTCATAATCATTTCACATGCCTTTCTTATGCAAGTGCTCAGGAAAACAAGTATTAGAGATTCATATTTTACCACATGTAGGATTCAATTACTGAGATGTAGAGAACTGTGCAGACACAAAGATCTGTGGGCATAGGGGTGGTACATTAAAAGATGCATAGGGTGCATATAATTGTAAAATTAGCTCTGCTAATAAGCTCTTAAATCTCTCTGCGAATCTGCCGCTCCAGGCAAACGCCTTGTTTACCTCGCGGTAGATACGCCCCTGCTTAAATCCATCCTCTGGGGAACTAGAACCAAGCTTCTGCAGATATGTGTTTCCATAAAGGCCTACTGACTAATAAATGGTATTCTACACATTTTTACTTTGACACTATAGAGAAGGGTAAGATAAGAGAGATTGCTCAAGAGACCTATGTTGTTAGAACATATGTGGACCAAGCTCAATGGTACGCATCGCCTGTACACATGGGTGCTTTCTGAAAGGCTATTATTGATAATGAGGTAAGTTATATGAAACATTGTTAAATGTTTATTTTGGATAAAGTAGGGAATGGATAAAACCTATTAGGTTTTTTTATGCCATCTGTGTCCCATTGGTGAGGTTTCCCTTTATTTTCTGTCCTATAAACACAGCAAGAAGTGACAGGAAATCTCTTTTAAGTGAGGCAATGCCTTTTTAGACAACTCTCACCAGAATATATGTCTCCATTAGAAAATTTGTTGGCAACTAAAGTTTCAGATTTTCCCTCACTTTCAGGCCCAGTGACAATGGTCACAGGACAATTAGAGGGGTAATCCTCCACAGGGGGGTGCACCAAAAACAGTAAAAACCTAACACCCTCAGCACTCTAAAAACTAAACCAAAAGATGTTGGCTTTACATACACTTACATAAAAAAAAGTCTCACAGCTAATTGTTCTTAAATGTAAATTTTAGTTCGAATTGAAAATCAAGCCTTGAGATGCACACAGAAAGCCTACCTGCTCAGGATTGCTGTAATCCACCCAACTCCCTTTTGCTATCTGGTGATTTGGTAACCCGTTTTGTTTGTTTGTAATGCTGGAGAGCCATTCCCAAACACTCTGACCGTAGGCTTCTTGCTGTGTGTCACGTCCTGCAGTGAGCGAGTATGAACCACAACTGCGGAGGATTTGGGTGGTATTATTTGAAGTGATGTATTTCTCGAAGTTTGGCACTCAGTACTGACCCCCAGGCGTCACTCTTAATCTTAAGCGAAGAGTTTGGAGTTCATTACATCATCTGCCAAAGTAGATAGGGATCTTTTTAGAAGGTAGGCCGGGAAGGTATTACCGCATACCCCCAACCGGTAGGTTAAAGTAAAGACACCTCCTAGTAGTATATGCAGCCGTGAATAATGAGCATCAGAAGGCTAACTTAAATTCATATCCAAATATAGTATGCGTCCAGGGAACCCTCTGCAGTGTGAAAGTTAATCAAAGGCACAAACGGGTAGTATATGCATCATGGGGTTGACTGCGGGTCACAGTCAGGCAATTTATGCAGCCAGGGAATTATATCCAGTATGAAAGTAAATGAAAGTCACATGCAAGTAATAAATGCATCCAGGGTATTATATCCAGTATGAAAGTAAATTAAAGTCACATGCAGGTATTAAATGCATCCAGGGTATTATATCCAGCATGAAGGTATATTAAAGTCACAAGCAAGTATTATAAGGCTGTAAGGTACTTATCCGGATCCTGGAAGGTTGCTGGATCTCCTGGCAGAGCTGCCGTGGCATGGGGTCCGGATCAGTGGGTCTCCCGGAAGCTGCAGGCTGGCAGAGTCCTACCCTCAAGATAGGGGTAGTTGGTAGAGGTAGCTGGGGGTTGCAGGCGTTCAGACTGCAATACAGGAACGCAGTGCATGTCCCCCAAGCTGGTTTTTAAGGTAAGAGGAAGTGCGGGTGGCCGAGCCGCACGTTCCCCTCGGTACTTCCGCGTTCCAACGTGAAACGCAGCGGCGCCGCACACCTGCGTCATCGAGCTGTCGCCGAATGCGTTCCACGCTGGAACGCATCGGCGATTGCGGCGGACGCCACTTACACTGTGTCACATACAGGAAGACTCATGTGAAAAAGTGTTGGTACTTCGTACTAAGAAGTTTCTGACAACCTCGGTTTATATTCAAACTGCTTTGTTGGTTTGAATATGACTGGTTAGAAACATCCAAAAGTGAGAGGAAGTTCCATAGCATACCCTTTAGAAAGGCGACCCTCCCATTGAACATTTGAGGAGCTGTATGAAACCTGGCTGCAGTAGTTTTCAGAGAACACACATTAAGGTAAACTAAATGGACTTTCTATCTTTAGCACAGTCAAGATGCTTTCTTGATAGCACTGTTTTTACTTGCCTGGAATTGTGCTTCTCATATTATACTAGCCTCCAGAATATTTGCCATGTCTGGGGGGAGGCAACAATCAAAGGGTTTAATGCCAGAACAGCTATTTTTATTAAACATACTGTGCACTGTAGACAAACTTAACAGTGTGTCATGGAAATGCAGAGGGCAGAGTCTAGGCATTTGTTTAAGGCCCTGGCATTCCTTGGGCACAACAGGCCACCTCATTGTGTAAAATCCTCCTATTGCCAGTAACTTGGCATTCTCATTACAACTAATCCTAAATTCTGACTATCCTTGCCTGTAATTATAGAGGGCAGGAACTTTATATCCTCCAATTTTTAGCATGAGGTTAATATGGCTGCAAGGAATGATGGGAAGTTTATGTACTCATACTAAAGTAAATGTAGCGCTCCTTATAACTTTGTTGTCATTGTGGTTGAAATCGATCATCGATTTGACCCCTTCAACGATTAGAAAGTTGAACGAATGTTCCAAAATCGATTATGTTGGTTCAAAATTCTAACCATGTATACTCTACTAAGTCTACACCAGGGGCACACATGACAGGGTGACAACTGGCCCCTTATTGTCCCTTCTGTTACGTGAACCTGTTGTATTTCCTAGGGGGGCCAACAGACAGGTTCACTTTTCAAAGTTTTTCCATAAGACTGTAATAAGATCTGATGATGACTGATATTAGTGTCTCTGCATGGTTCCCTACTAATCCATGAATGAAAAAGTGATGAAAACGTGATGGGTTGTTTCAGAGAAAGGCATCATATTTGGGAGCGCAAATAAAGAACAGCCCATTGGGAAGGATGGGGAATGGAATTTCTACTCTAAAATAGGGGAAAATCAGTTTCTCTTTTTTCTTATTACCCTCAGCAGTGTCTTGTTATTATATAATGGCACTTGCTCTGATTTCCATGTTCAAGTAAAGAGGAATTGAAATGAAGAATGTAATGTTTAAGCAAAACTATGTTAAAACATATTTGATAAAGAACATTTGCATCTAAATATTTTAGATCTGGCAGCTACTGCAAACATTAACAAGATACAAAGTACAGCATTTCAGGGTGACTCATTTCATATCGGTGCATTTTATATATTTTTTTCCTATCAGAAAATACGGTGTAATGCAACAATATATGTTTTGTGGTTTCTAAAGCGTGAACAACAATGAGAAAAAAAAGGGTTTTAGAGATAAAATGAACAGTGACAAGTAGCAACCGCATGTCTCTAGGTCAGACTGACTTATATTACAATAGCTACATTGTTCAGGGCTGTTCAGGATTTATTCCATACAGTATACTATACTCTAATGCAGAATACTTAAAGCAGAAGTCAATGCATAGTTCAGTACTGGCTTTTTAAATACTTACATATAAAAATAAATTATTATAAGTGCCATAAAATCATCTTCTGAAAGCCGGACACATGATCCTGCTGGTCTGCTTACTCTTAACTTACAAAAAAAAGTGTAGCTCAGGAGGAGAGGTTGTTCCAGAGGGTCACAGGACAATGGGAGATGATTTGACCCATAAAGGTACACTGTGAGCAGGGGAGAGGTGAAGAGTCGTTGAGGATGTCACTGGATGCTTCAACCTCCAGTATACTCTCTGAGCTGTGGTGGCAATGGTAGACCCACTGTTTTATTCTGGTGCCACCACTACAGCCATAGAAACAGTTACCCAGATCAAGACTGAGGCTTAGTGCATGATATATCAAGAATTCTAACTACATACTAGGCGGACAGATTAGATCAGAAAAAAAAAAACATTTTGCCTTGACTTCTACTTTAAGATGAGTTAAGCAATGTTACACCTTACCTGAACTCCTATTACATCAGTATTGCAGTACGGTAATAACACATACACACACCCATATCATAGCTTAATAGTATTATAGAGGAATCTAACATATCTGATTTAATGTAGCAGAACACAGTAGACATAATGGCCTTATCTTACATGCTGTCAGCATTACATGCTGTCTGTTTTGATTGCTTTCTAACTTTTTATTTCTGACTATACAAAGGTCCACCTGGCCCAGAAGGACCCCGTGGCCCCCCTGGCAGTGCAAGCTTTAAAGGTGACAAAGGAAATCCTGGAATACCTGGACAGCCCGGATTCCCAGGACCTAAAGGAGACCCAGGAACGCCAGGTGTTCCGGTAAGCCTCTCTTTACGCCTTTACTGTACACATGTACATGTCTTCTTTAAACATGACATGTAGTGAGCTGGTCTACCTTACAGCAGCTGCTGTTCACAGTCACTGGGGCGGTAGAGATTCAAGAAGGTTAGAGTACAAAGCCATTACTGCAACATAGTGACATCTCATAGTGCTTTGTATATTTTCTCTGCATTTTTTGGGGGGTATCTTTACAACTAAATACATATATATTTTTTGCATTGGAAATATAGCATTCTGTATGAATGTTTCATATTTACTACTTGCAGCCAGCAGAAGGTGCATTTACAGCTGTTCTTTACTACTTCTGCTAGTCATTTTACAGCTATGCTTTGAAAAACCAGTTTGAGTCTTTTTACAGCACACAGGCATACCCTTTCCATTCTTCTAGTTTAAATGGAGCTGTATGGATTCTCAGTTACACAGAGGCAATCAACGAGCAAGCAGGCAACAGTGTGCTTTCTTGTAACACATTCCGGTGCGGGCGATCACACTGCGGCCGGGGAGCGTGGCTGCGATGCCATTGACTTCAATATACTGCCACGCCACCCCCGCCCCAAAACAAAATGAGCTGGCCGGAATGCGATCCAGTACATTCCGGCACCAATTGGGCCGGAACACACTGGGGCTGGTGTGAACTAGCCCTTAACTATGTAACCTGTCTGGTTACCTTTTCTTATAAATATGTTAAAGCTTTTGTATAAACATACATCCCACTGATACAGACAAGCTTATTGTTGTTTCTAAGAATGTTCCTGGAGCTTGGCTCTCATGTGCAGTGGAGTATGATAGACAGGAGAATACTGGGTGATACTTTACAGCTTTTTAAATGAAAATGGGATATTATAGTAATTTTATATATATTGCAATTAGTATATAGTATTAATGTATGTTTGCATTGCAAGTGCAGTACATAAATATGACTGGTGTAACTACATTGTCAGTGATCAGACTTTAATCCAAAGAAAGAAAGATAATTGTTGGTCTGTTTTTAAAATGCTGTGCTTATCTACAGGGTGATCCTGGAAGACCAGGTCTAAATGGAATGAAAGGAGATCAGGGAGTTCCAGGCGTGCCAGGATTCCCAGGTATTATAAATGGGTCTCTGGATGTGCAGATTCAGTCACACCTCAGAGTACACCTAATATTCACATATCATGATGGGAATGTTTGACTTAGGAGACAATGATCTAGGCAAAGCATGAAGGAAACACAAAACTTAATTTGAAGAGTACTCTATATAAGCCTTATTATATGGAGGAATATGATATTTTAATCCCCTTTTAGATCTTTATTTTTTGTGGTATTTATATGACTCGCCTGCCAGAAGCAGACAATGACAGGTGCTGAGTTACATTGTTCCCAGCCTTCCCAGTTCACAAGAGGCAGTAGCTGACACTGTTGCATGCACTGTTGTGACTAATAATACAACATTAGGATAAAGCAACTTGTAATCATGTTCTGTTCTGTGCCTTTTTCAGGTATGAAAGGGCCCAGTGGTCCTCCTGGTTTGTCTGGCAGTAAAGGTGACCTAGGTAACCCAGGTCTTCAAGGTGAGAATTTTCATCCTATATCATTTACTTTGGCCACTCTCTCCTGATATTCACATGGTCTTTTTCTAGAGGACAAAGCAGTTTTCATATACTGAGTCTATATGTTTTGTTTTTAATTAACAGGTCTGCCAGGACCACCTGGTCCCAAAGGTGAGTTCAAGACAATACAGGGACCACCTGGACAACCAGGACGTCCAGGAAACCTGGGACCTCCTGGACCGCCAGGACCCCCCGGATTACCAGGTAATGCTTTGTAGAATGTCAGTTAATGCATTGTCATAGAACTGTATTTTTATATTCACTTTACAGCAGTGTGGTTACATTATTAGACTTAAACAGGATCCCCTTGGCAAGACCACTTTGACATGCCTGTTGATTTAATCATAGCTTATAAATATTTGTTAAAACTATATTGCGCACCATGCTTTTCCCATACCCCAAGTCAATTTGTTGCAGTTGGCTATATCTGTGAACTTTTTCGATACACATCAGAAAGACCATTTGCACAGTTCTTTTCACAGTGCTGTGAAATAAGTAGACGTGAGTATGGCTTATCCCCATATATATTTACCTGCTATTTATAGTGGCCAATACAAGTTTCCAATCTTTTGGGTGAAACTTGATTCATCCTGATGTTGGACAGGGAATATATTACAAATGAGGTAGCCTATAGTGGGGACGTATGGAGACAGCTATTGCTGACATCTCGTTCTGCAAATGTTAGTTTACCCGTTGTTATGCTGATCAAATACTTCCCAAGTCACAGAATCTGAGCAAGTATTCAGATTAAAGGTTTTGACTTTCCTAAGCTGAATGCTTGTTTTGGGTTAGTGACCCAGGAAGTACTGATAGCGAGGTAACAGGAGGAGTTAAGCAATGACAGCACCATATATCACGCATGACTGGTTTCCTTTAACTAAACTGATGGACAGGTGTAGTAATTACTTGGATGGGAACTTTCTCAATGATTATTTTTTCCTTTTTTAAGGTCCCTTGGGGCCATCAGGTGACCCTGGCAGAGATGGACTTCCAGGGTTTGAAGGACAGTTAGGACGCAAAGGTGACAAAGGTCCACCAGGACAACCAGGTAAGTTCTGTCTTCTATTGTTTAGAAATTGTATAGCATCAGTCTCTAAATTACCTAAAATCTACAAACATTACTAATATTCAGTTGGTGGTACTTTGCATATGGTTTTTAATGGCTTTTTCATGGCGGTTTATGTGGGAAGAAAGACCAACAGTACAAACACACAATAATGTTAATTAACCAAGGTTATTTATATGACATATCTATCTTCTGTCATTCAAAACAGCTTTTATACATTGGTAAGCAGCAAAAGAGAGACAATATTGTTTTAAAAGTACAATGGTCATAAGAACCCAATACTGTAAGAATAATTTTTTAATTTGTGTGGAATGTGCACTAATATTAAAATCTAACAAAATCTAGCATAGAAAAAAAGATAGAAGTTTAGATAAATGTAAACAAATTATTGTGTTTTGTTATTTTGGAAATTACACTGTAAAATTCAAGATTTATTACTGCTCAATGAGACTTTGTTTATTGATTTCAAAGTATTTCTCCCTTAAATGTGCTACTTGATGAATATCTGTTAAAAAAAAATAAGTCAAGGCAACAACTGGACTTGCTGTATTTTTCTTGAAGATGTTTCACTGGACGTCCAACCAGCTTTCTCAATTCAGAATGACTTGTGCAAATATTCTCTGGGAATAAATATGGTGAATGTTGCTCCAATCCACATAATCTGTTAATCGCAACCAGGTGTTGATTGCATTTGCATTATTGGAGCTAGGAGGTGTTATTAACCTGTCCAGAGAGAAGTGTTAAAACAGCATTGTATGTGGCAGACATTGATTAATACCCTGAGCAGCTAGGGGCTTTGACCATCTTGGATAAGCCTGTGCAATCAAAAGCTTAAAACACCTTTCACTTGGATCATGAGATATGTTAAGGAAAAGTACATGATTCAGGCAAGTAATATTGTATACTCTTTTGATTTTGCATATTAGATGATAATTTTGTATTTAGTGTAGGAAATGGAAAGGAAGCTTGTATTGTGGACAGAAACTAGAAAAGAGTGCCGATATAGTTTTTTAAATCCTATTGACTTTCTGAGCTGGTTTCTTTCCATAGAAATTAGCATGCCTTACCCTACCTCCCACATGACATTACTCCGGTATGGAGATTGGCTGTTCATGAAACAGAGCACTGCCATTTGGGAAGGATTGTAATATTTTTTTTCGGATTCATCTTGTGATGCTCCTTTTAAACACTGGTCTATTTTGTAGCCTTTGTTAACAACTTCAATTTTGCATCCGACTGACAATGAAAAGATACTAAAATAATTTTAGATGCTTTTAACACCTTTGCACTTTCATTCTTAAAAGGATCAAGAGGAAACCAAGGTCCTCCAGGTCCAGATGGATTGCAAGGTCCTCCCGGTCCAGCTGGTTTAGGATCTGTAGCTCATGGATTCCTTATTACGCGCCACAGTCAGTCTACAGATTCCCCACCTTGTCCTCAGGGAACTGCCAGAGTCTATGATGGGTATTCTCTTCTCTACGTACAAGGAAATGAAAGAGCCCATGGTCAGGATCTGGGTAAGGAAGCAGGTTTATTCTAAACACATAAACAAGAACAGATATAACGAATGTTTGCACTGACTGGCAGTCAGTGAACATCTGCTATCAAAAATATCTAAAGGGAAAATATAACCCTCTCAATGTTTTATTTTCTTTTTTACTTTTCAAAAGATTTTATTGGTTTTCAAAAAAAATTTTTTTTTTTCCACAATAAAACATCATAAAAGCATATTTGGTTACATACATGTATAGTGATGGCATATAAACGTATGGAGCATCGTAATAATGTGAACAGTCTCAAGTCGGCCACCCTAGGTACTGGACGTAAAATATGCGAACATAAAAATAGGACAATATGAATTGTCTATAAGGTAAGTATGTGAAGTCACCTAAATCGCCTGGATCCTTAGATGGGATCAGTAATTCTGAGTTGGAAGGTAAGGACAGTAGAGAGAAGAGAGAGAGAAGGAGGGGGGTACAGGGTGAGCACTACCAGCAGGTCTCCCCACCGTTGTCACAGTTGGTTGGGATCAGTTTGATGAGCCCGATATCAAAGCGACAGTAGTCGTAGATCAAACGACGGGGGTAGGTAATGTGTGACCCATGGTTCCCACTGTTTTTCGAATTTGGGCATGCTGCCCAGTATGCGGGCCAATAGCTTTTTGTTGTAGAACGCCCAGTGCACTTTATTTTTCATTTCTGTTATATTTAGCGATTTCGTCAGCCAGGCTCCAGCTATAGTGCGTTTGGCCGCAGACAATATTTGCAGCATTAGTTTAAATTGTAAGGTAGTAATACCTATCGGTCGAACATTAAGGAGGGCTTCCTGTGGCATAGGTGAGATATGTTTGTTTAGTGTGACTGAGATAATCTGGAAAACCTTCCGCCAAAAGGCGGCTACAACCGGGCATGACCACCACATGTGGAAATACGTACCACTGTCACCACATCCCCTGGTGCAGAGGCCATCACTTTCCGGCACAAAGTGTACTGCCTGTGTGGGCTCTATGTACCATCGGAGAAGCACTTTGTAGTTAGCCTCAAGAGTTAATGCATTTTTGGAGGATGACTTCGTGCTTTCCCAAATTTGGAACCTTCATCAATCGTGGTTTGGAGATCTACGTGCCAGCGATCCATATATGTGTGATGAGGTGGGCCCGCACTTGACAGTAGAGAGGAATACAGTTGTGAAATTAAGCCTGGGGTGTGGGGATCTTGGGTGCATATTCTTACGTATGATGTCATGCGCGGGGAGGCTAATGGGAATTTTATTTGTGATTGGATGAAGTGTTTAATTTGGAGGTACCTAAATAATTCACTGGAGGGGAGATCAAACTTAGATTGTAAATCGGGGAATGGAACAACTCCATTGCTAGTGGTGAGTTTGTTCAGTTGTGTCACCTTGTTTGAGATAATGTTTTATTTTCTTACAAATGTGTTCAACTTAATGTAAGTAATCCTATACATTTGTGTAAGTGTTTTTAAAAGCCTTGTTACTGTGGATTGTTTGTAATAATATATTTGCATGGGAGCAGCCATTACATTTCATTCATCACAGTCATTACATTTGTAGGGTGTGCTTCCTGCTTAATATTGCTGCACAGTATTTTTGCCTTAGGTGCCCATAGATTTTCAAAAGCAATTGGGCAGACAAATGTCCTATTCCAATTATGTTAATGATCACATTTATATGAATAATTACTTTGCACTTTAATTATAGGTACTTTATTGATTTAAATATTGGCACCTTATTTATGAGAGGAATATGTTTGTATAAATATATTTTGTATTGGTTAGCTTTTTTAAGATTACCAGGCACAGTGCAACACAGATGATCTTATTACAATTGGAATCGCAATATGCTTTAGTGAGTGGTTCAGCTTGCCGTGGTAGATTTTGCACATACAGTATATTTGTTTCACATCCTAGCGCGGTTCAATTGTTTCTATGATCAATAATTCCACCCTACAATGGTCTACCATTGGGTGTCTGCTGGACCCATAGACAAGAGAAGCGTTTGTTTTCAGGGTACCCTTACTACGTCAAATAGTATTTCAGCACGATAAGTAACATTAGGTCCCCTTTAAGGAATACCTTTACTTAACACATGCTAGCCAATAGAGGGAGCATCTACAAATCTGTATATGTACCTTAGTAAAGCAAGTGAATCACATAAAAAAGTATTTAAAAAAATATGTGCTCTCAGAAAATACACTGTAGTGACTAATTCAAAACTAAACGTCAACATGTTGCTTTGGCTATTGCTCTGCTGGCACTGCACTGTCGATATAAGAATGTGGCCAGCATAGAAGATGCCAAGGTGTTCGCAATTTGGCCACCTACAAGTATACTGAGTGAATGTGTGAAAACAGAAATAGAGGAAATAATGTACTCCAAGGTTTTAGAAATAAATGCCTTGACAAAAATATCTTTAACATTTTATAAACATTTTCTGTGTAACTGTTGTAGCTTACTTTTATGTATTTGACCTTTTAGGCAGCGGAGAGGCTGGCAAAAAGCTATTATTATTGGGATAGAGGGACAGAAAGTGATATGTATATAGGCAACATCTTTCCCTGTGGTTGTTGAACACAGTCAACAACCCTTTTATATAAGGCAACTTGTATTGCAGCACTAGTAGTCCATAAAGTGAGCTTATAAAGGGAGTGCATGGTAGGACATCCTGCATATAACCTCTACGTTGTGCTGGCTTCCATTGCCTGCATAGCTTTTATGTTAATGACATCATAAATGGGCATGACACATTGACATTCATAATTTTCTTTTTTTTTAATCAGATATTTTTTATTGGTTTTGCACATTGTCAGATACATTTGACAAACAGGTAATAATAATTTAAAAAAAAAACAAGGAACCAAAAAGAAAAAGGCCATAAGAAAGAGCCATTAAACAGACACATTGGGGGTGATTTACTAACCTAAACACACGCACGCACTAGGTGCGTGTGATTTTTACACAGCAAAACGTATTTATCAACCAAAAAGTCTCTAAAAGCATATTTCCACTAATGCCATATATGGAAAAATCATGCACATGATGCATATATAATGCTGCTTCACAGTTTAGACAAAAATGGTTAGCTCATGCATTTACATTCCTGCATTCATCAACGCAAGCAACACAACATAGAGCTAATTTACACAACATCACCTTGCAAATTCATGCTTGGCTTTGCACAACACACCTGCTGGGTGTGTACACACTACAAAGGTGTCTAGATTCCACAAATCTAGATCATGCTGGGAGGGAACACACTAAAGAGGTGCATACATGTTCGTGGTGTGTTTATAAGGTTAGTAAATCAACCCCATTGAGTCGAAAACAAAAGGTGGGTGGGGGGATTGGCATAATATCATGCAAATAACAAGATTCGACAAGAATGGGGTGTTCACTGTTTGTGAGCGTAGATGTAGTAAATAGTATAACAGGCACTTCATGAAACACTAGTACCAAAAGAGAAAAAGCCATAAAAATAAAACCCAAACACTCTGTGCGTATAGCCAGCACCTGTCACAGCTGGTAAATGGCTATATGTAGGAGAGGCCAAATCTAACCACTAGTATCCCTCTGGAATATGTGAGCAAGCTGATTAGTCAGAGATGTCTTGCCCTCGATACGTCAGCCAACTGTCCCAGATGGAATGGAAACGGGACAAAGTACCCCGTTGTTGAAAAGTAACTCTCTCGAACGCGACCACCCTGTCGAGTTCTATTAAGCAGGAGGTCAGAGTTGGGGGTAGGGGGGGTGAGATCCACTTACGGACCACTAGTCTGGTTGCGGTGAATAAGGCCTGTTTAAAAGCTATAGTAGTGTGTCGTGTAAGGACGTCAGAGTCCACGATACCCAGAATACACGTTAATGGGGAGTTTGTCACTGAGGATGCAAATACTAGGTTAAGGGTTACTGAACCAGCTTAGGGCATCTCCAAAGCAGGTGGATCAGGGAGCCCCGATGAAAGCCACACTTGGGGCAATTGGAGTCAGCCCTAAGCCCTATACGGAACAAGAATTCAGGAGTGCGATATGTTCTGTGAATTATAAAGAGTTGCGTCAGCCTATGAGTGGGAGATAGGGAGACCTGAGCAACACCCTGAAAAACATCGTCCCATACATCATCCTCCATGGGCCCCACATCACCCTCCCACCCCTCCCTGCACTTCAGGGGGAGGAGGACATTGGACTTCAGCAGAAGATGAGAGTAGAGAAAGGAGATAATCCCTTTAGTGGAGGTCGCCAAGAGGACAGTACCAAATATCGGAGTGGGAGGCAAAACGGGAGGGCCCTGACGAAACTGGGATTTTAAAGCATGATGTTGTCTTACCAGGGGGAAAAAGGGGGGGGGGGGGGGGGGAGATCCACTTACGGACCACTAGTCTGGTTGCAGTGAATAAGGCCTGTTTAAAATCTATAGTAGTGTGTCGTGTAAAGACGTCAGAGTTCACGATACCCAGAATACACGTTAATGGGGAGTTTGTCACTGAGGATGTAAATACTAGGTGTAGGGTATCCACCACCTGATCCCAGTACCGAACCAGCTTAGGGCATCTCCAAAGCAGGTGAATCAAGGAGCCACGATGGAAGCCACACTTGGGGCAATTGGAGTCAGCCCTAAGCCCTATACGGAACAAGAATTCAGGAGTGCGATATGTTCTATGAATTATAAAGAGTTGCGTCAGCCTATGAGTGGGAGATAGGGAGACCTGAGCAACACCCTGAAGAACATCCTCCCATACATCATCCTCCATAGGCCCCACATCACCCTCCCACCCCTCCCTGCACTTCAGAGGGAGGAGGACATTGGACTTCAGCAGAAGATGAGAGTAGAGAAAGGATATAATCCCTTTAGGGGAGGTCACCAATAGGACAGTATCAAATATCAGAGTGGGAGACAAAACGGGAGGGCCCTGACGAAACTGGGATTTTAAAGCGTGAGCAAGCTGGAAGAACTGAAAGTAGCACCTAGCGGGGACCCCATACATTTCAGTCAGCTCCTTAAAGTCCTGCAGCTTGCCCTCATTATACAAGTGGGAGATGGTTATCACCCGTTTGCTAGTTCAGTCAACGGTGCTCTGGAGAGGGAGGAGCTCTGGTAGGCGGCCATTTTGCCATATCGGCGTATGTCTGGTCAGGGCTCCCACGCCCAGTGCCAGTTTAGCCGCATCCTAGACCTGTCCCATCAGCTTCAAGGTAGGGTAGGTAGAATAAGTTTTACTGTATAGATCACTATCTAAATAATGTAAAGGGCTTAACCCCAGAAATAAATGGAGAAGTATACGGTAAGACAGCAGTTGATGCTCTTCAGCTGCCCAGCCTGTGAAGTGTTGCAGCTGTGAGGCCAGAAAGAAGACCCATGGACAAGGGAGGGCCAGCCCCCCCGAGGACTTCGGCCGCTGCAGAACATCAAGCTGTAGCCTAGAGGGTTTCAGTTTCCAAATCAATTCTCTAAATATACTGTCAATTAGCCGAAACATTTTTTTAGGGATCCAGAGAGGGGAGTTATGAAGCACATATAGTAGTTGAGGCATCCAGACCATCTTAATCAGATTCGCTCTACCGGACACATACAGTGGTAGTTTGACCCAGGAGTTACGTTGAGTTTTAAACCTCCCTAGAAGGGGTTGCAAGTTTAGAGTGAGATAGTCGCTCGGGAGAGCAGATACCTGGATACCTAGGTAATGGGGATTGCACTTGTAGGTGCGGCATTGTAGCATCCAGTGGAGCACGCAGTGGATCCAACGGGAGAAGGTTAGATTTATCCCAGTTAACTACCAGGCCTGAGTAGGTAGCGAATTCCGATAATAGAGACATAACACTGGTCAGGGAGGACACCGTGTCCGCCAGGAACAACAATGTGTCATCAGCATAGAGAACTATCTTCTCCTCTAACGCACCCCGTGCCAGGGGCTCAATTGCCAGGGCAAATAATAAGGGCGACAGGGGGCATCCCTGCCTGGTGCCCCTCTGTAAAGTAAAGGCAGAAGACAAAGAGTCATTGATCTTGATCCTGGCAGAGGGGTGGTGATACAGCAGGCTCACCCACTTGCAGTAATTTGGACCAAAGCCAAAGACGCTGTCACGATCCGTAAGCGAATAAGGGTTGAGGATCGCAGCTGCGGAACTCTTGCAGTACGGCCTATGGGATTGGGTCAGATAGACGGTTCCTTAACACACCAACTGCGTAGAGGAACCGTTCCACATCATGTATCCCGGCCTATATGGGGCAAGAGTGTGGGCGCTCTAATTTGTGTAACGGTCTAAAAGACTGCTACTTACAGCTATGGGGCGTGATGGGACTGTAGTTTCTCAGCGGTACACCCCGCACTAATGAGCCCCTCCTAAGGGGAGAAGTTAGCGAATGAATATTGGTTACTAAGCGATATGCAGCAAGTGTTTAATGAATATTGGTTACTAAGAGATATGCAGCAAGATGTTAACAGTCCTGTATATTACACACCACAGTATGATCTGGCACTGCAGTCTTAGCACCAGGAGATGGGGCTAACCCCAGCACTTGCGGTTTAGAGGAGAGGTTGCTGTAGCTGGTGTTAAGCCTGTGTCAACCTGCTGTAGGAGAGTGGTGAGCTGGGGGTGAAGGCGTCCCAAAGTGTGGCTAGCTGCTGGTAGAACTTCGGCAGGCAGCTTGGTTCAGAGGAGGATGCGGAGACCTCGCTCGACGTTCCTCATTGACAGAACTCCGAGTGAGTGTTTCCGCCGCGGCTAAGAAGGGAAGCCGAGGTCTAGGGGGCGGAGCCCGGCGTGACGTCACCGCTGGGACGGCGCGCCGCTGGAGGGAATGGACGTGCCGGGTGAGTCTCTGACAGACGCCCAGCACTGCCCACAAATATCTCCACTCCACACTGTCGAAAGCTTTAGCAATATCCAGGGCGAGGAGCGCCCTGTTGCCCGTATTGTCAGTGGGAACTTGCATGTTCAGAAACACTCTACAGATGTTAATGGCAGTAGATTTATTGGGCATAAAGCCGGACTGGTCCGGGTGAATCACCGACGCAATTTTCCGGGACAGCCTCAGTGCGAGCACTTTGGCCAGGATCTTAACATCGACATTCAATAGGGAAATAGGTTGATATGATTCTGTTAACAGCGGGTTTTTATGTTTTTTGGGGAGCACCACTATGGTAGCTTCATACATCGTGTTTGGCAGCGAACCAGAGGAGAAGGCGTCATTATACACCTCTAGGAGTGTGGGTAGGAGGGCCTTAGGGTAAGTTTTATATACCTCAACAGGTAACCCATCTGGACCAGGAGCCTTACCACTGGGGAAGCTAGCCAACGCCACCTCCAGCTCCTCCAGGGTAAGAGGGGCCTCTAGATCCTGTCTATCAGCAGGCGACAGGGATAGGAGGGGAACCTTTCGTAAGTAGAACGAAAGTTCAGAGTCCGAATAACTAGCCTTAGTTTGATATAGGGATGCGTAGAATGTACGGAAAATGTCGGACACCTTGCCCTGGCTCGAATGAGTAACCCCCATAGAGGCAGAGACAGCGCCGATATGACTAGAGGGTTGTTGGGCTCTAGCTACCTGAGTTAAAGTTTACCTGTCGCATCCCCCTCCACCAAAAGACCCGTTTGGCAAAAAAATTGTTTATTTTGGGCCTGCGTCTCCAACAAAGCATTTAGGGAATCTTGTGCAGCTAGCCATGCAGTCTCCTTACAAGTCTTAGGGTCTGCCACATAGCCCCTCTCACTGTCAGCAACCAGTTGACGTGCCAGAGACAGGTCCCGCCTTTAGCTTGGACTTAATAACAATAACGTTCTTGAGTAAAGTACCCCTAAGGTACGCTTTCAGCGTATCCCAGACCACACCAACAGTCGCAGAGGGAATATTTACAGACAAGAAAAACTCAACGTCACTCTCCAATGCTGTGTGATCCTTAAATAAAGTCAGCCAAAACGGATGTAAGCGCCAAGGAAGCATGGACCTACGGCCGCCAAGGCGCAATTGAACAGTAAGCATGGAATGATCCGAGAGGCACCTCAGGTGAATATCATCCGATTGAACATAGGAAAACATTTCCGAGGTGCCCAGGGCAAGATCAATCCGCGAAAGGGAGCCATGTGTCTTAGAGTGGCAGGTGTATTGTGAGTCTGTGGGGTGGGAGAGACGCCACAAATCCACCAGCGCCAGCTCCCCGCAGAGCTTGTTGAGGGGTGTTATGAGTGGCGTGTCAGTTTCCAACCGGGAGGGGAACCTGTCCAGGCTAGTGTTCAAGACCCCATTAAAGTCTCCTGTCACTAGGACAGGGAGTGGTAACTTATCCGCTAAGAAATGAGCCAAATGATTGATTCACATACAGTACAAGCAATAAAAACAACTGGCTGATCAGATGTCTCCTTATACGCTCACTCCATTTATACCACCCATTTCAAGAAAGACATAAAACCGGCGCGCTGTGTGTAGCATCTGAGAAGATAATATGCTAATAGCATATCTTATCAGAAGCTGTACACAGCGCGCCAGTTTAAGTAGTAACCGGCACACGCTGTATGCAGCTTCTGTCGCAACTGCAGGACGCAGATGCCATCCGCAATTAAATCAGCTCTCGGCGCCCATCGGTTGCGACATGCAATGAAAATTATTAGTGCCCCCCCAGATCTGACTGTGGTATCTTATGTGCCCCCCCTAAATATTGTTCCTAGAGTCGCCACTGACTACATGTAAGTATACACATCAGAGACCAGGCATGTAAACAGCTGGAAGGTGTGGCTGGGCATTATATAAATATAAATGTAATGTATACGTTTATAAGTGAAGATGATGAAAAAGCACAAAACAAGCCATGTATTTATTTCAGCTCATAAGAGGGCGCCTACAATGCAAAAGAATGCAGCCATGTGAAGGAAGCAAACCCTTTCATTGGCTTCTGTACAAACTTATCCCAGTATGTGCCGAACTATTTCTTCAGTCAAGTGCTTACTGAGTTATATAAAAAACATCAGCACTTCATTTATCTTATAAATAAATTCCCAGTTCACGCAAAATGAAAAACAGTAAGAATTCCAACCGCTTCATATGAATAAGAATCAAGGTGATCCAAAACACGTTATGTTTCTGTAAACAGTCAATGGATACATTTATAAATCAGTGTATCTGACAGTTATGAAACATCCACTACAGGTGAATCTTCCTGCGGCATGTGTTTTAAATTATAGTGACTGATTTACAACCAGTGAATGTTTGGTGAAAGTGACATCCACTGCTTTATAAATATACCCCTATGTGTGACTTTTAGGATTTGTGGAAAAAAATATCACACTGCAATTTTAAGCCACATTGTGTCCTGATTATGTTTTTTTCCCTTAGGTACTGCTGGTAGCTGCCTGCGACGCTTCAGCACCATGCCTTTTATGTTTTGCAATATCAACAATGTATGTAATTTTGCATCAAGAAATGATTACTCTTATTGGCTCTCTACGCCAGAGCTGATGCCAGCAAATATGGAGCCCCTAAGGGGAAGAGAGATTCAGCCTTTTATAAGCCGGTGAGATTTTTACATTTTTTGCCATTTGCCTATTGAACTGTTTGCAAACTTTAAAATTGGTGCTGTTAGTTGTCCAAGCATGGAATTCAGATTTACCAACCTATGTAATTTAAATAATGTAGTACCGCTTCAGTACACTGTGGCACCGTAGTGAAAAGAGCTCTGTGTTGGGTTTATGCATCACCACCACCATGGAGCCAGTTAGTGGCGTCATTATTGTGCAGTAATCAGACTACATGTTTTGTCTGTGAACTTTCAATTAGGATTCCTGATGAAGGTTTCCACCTGAAACTATTTGTCTGGCTGGTAAACTGGTAAGTGACATGTATAAAGACAAGCTTTCAAGGAAGCAATATTCCCTTAGGTAGGGGACAAAAGATGTGTTACTTCTCTAAAGACTTGCATTTACTGTATTAAGGTCACTGACAGGCTAATGCAGAAGAGGAACTTTTGTTGGAATTCAATTTGAGATTCGCCTGTAGTACTTTATAATAGCTCAGCTGACCCAGGACTGGATGACCATCAACCACCTGAGGAAGCTGGAGTGCACAGTTTTGAGCTCCTACTTATTACTCCCATAAAACCCATGAATGTTGCAGCAGAAGTTAAAGACACCACACGTGACTTACCTGTTTCAGACAGTGATGTTCTGCATTTGCTACTTTGTGGATTGCCAGTCAGCTTGTATTAGCACATTGATTACCACTATATGTCCAGCTAAAACATTTTTTCTTAGTTTTGGATAGAGTAGGGATGGATTAGAACTCCCGTCAGATTTTTACTGCTATCTGGGGCTCCATTGCTGACAATGTTTTACCAGGGTGGAAGTGAGGGGAACTCTCCAATAGCAACACAGAAAGATTGCACAATACATGGGCCATGATGAAAGGGGACACATTGGATTTCCTTTTATTGATCATTTAATAAAACATTGCTTTGGACTTTTTGATCATTGGTGTGGCAT